TTTCTGTTGGACTGGAGTTCTACTTGAGTAGCCCTGGAATTTGTCTTAGAGTTGAATCAGTTATAGTAGAAGGCTTGCCTCTAGGAGAAAAATGTGTTTAATATCTGCCCTTATAACTGGTGGGAAGTGCTTGGCTATTATCTACACCAACGATGGTGAGCCTTTTAGAGACCGAGTGCCCAAACTGCAACCCAAAATCCACTTATGTATCGTTGGGTGCCCATTGGTGAGCGTGGCTGCAGTGGTAACAGCAGACCGGGTGGGAATCAATCAATTCCAACTTTGCAAGATTTTTTTTTTCAAGCGAGAAGTTGAAATTGATTGATTGCTTGAACCTTTCTTTTTTTTGCCCACGGCGGTGGAGGCCTAAAGCAAAAAGGTTTTATAAAACCCAGCTAAAGGCCTAGGACTGGGGCGATGACGCATGTGCCCAGAGAGGGCTGCATGTCACCTGTGGCACGCATGCCCTAGGTTCGCCATCACGGATCTACACTCTCATGATCTAGCTCTGCAATCCCAGCCCCACACTTAGTTAAGACAACAATCTTCACTGAAAGTTGCTACAAATATGTAAACTTCTTAGGTTTCTATTGCAAGCTTTATGTTGTAAAATCATTGTAAATATTAATTCCAAGTACAATTCTCCTATCCCATTCCAATGCAGTGAGTTTTGCTATATATATAACAAAATATAAAACAGATTAGGATAGTTGGGAAAATGGAAATGGTAGAAGAGATCAAACTGCATGCCAATCAAGAACAGACGATGATATTTGAATATAATCCAAGAACGTTTACTGTTGGATGTAATAAAGAATTTCCTGCCTAGTAGAAATGAATTATGTTAAGAATACAACAGACCAAGGCCAAACATCTATAGTAAAAAAAAAAAACACCACCCTGCTTTTTAAGGATTCCCAAACAGGAATCCTTCTATTTCAGTTCACTAGATAATTTTCAAAAAAATCTCATGCAGTTTTCCTACAAGATGACTCCATATAAAGGTAGTAAACTAACTTTAGACAGGTACTTAAAATTAAAAGTATGAGGTCACATTTACATGCCACCAACCAAATACAACTATGTAGTAACACTGTTCTGGCTTTTATCAAATGGGATAACTCTGTGATGTATCAGCTCAGCAGGACTGGCTTTTTTGAAGAGTTGAAAATTCCTCTGTGTAAATCTTATACTACAGAGATAGAATGCTTATTATTCAAAGCCTAGAATGTGTATCCTTTCCCTTGGACCATTTGTTTTATTTTCCTTGAGTGGTGCCATCTTCAATGGTAAATTATTACAGAATACAATAAAATGATGAATGTGATTTCTAGAAACATTTATCATTTAAAAAATGAAAAAGAGACAATAAGCTTGAAGCAACCAATTTGCTCAAAATCCCATTTTTAACCATATTCCTCTCCCATTTTTAAAACTTTGTTAGGATTTCTCTGTGTGACATTCTTAGCAAATATTTTACAAAACTGGTGAATGAAATTTCTCCAAAAGGTAACAAGGTGCAATCTCAATGAACTTTTTAAAAGCATTTCTATGTTTTTAGCAAATAAGAAGAATTTGGACTTTTTATACAATAGGTAGTTATTTATATATTCTTCCACTGAAATCTTCACTAGATCAGTTTACCCATAGTTCATTCTTTTCCTCTATGAATTAGACATAATAAATTCAAAAGGTGATAGAAATAATTTTTAGTAACAAATCAGACATTAATACTGCAAATTCTATTTATAAACTTATTCTAAATACACCGAATGATGCACTAAATTCTGTTAGAAGAAAATCCGGATTTCTTAGAATGATCAGTTCTAGTATAAGGTAAAAAAGATATTTATTTATTTATTTATTTATTTATTTATTTATTTATTTATTTATTTATTTATTTATTTATTTATGAGACTTACATATCGCTTTAAGTGCAAGCACTCTCTAAGCGGTGTACACCAGTAAGCAATGTATATATATATATATATTTACATTGCCCCCAACAATCTGGGTCCTCATTTTACCTACCCCGGAAGGACGGAAGGCTGAGTCAACCTTGAGCCGGTAAGATTTGAACCGCTGACCTGCTGAACACAGTCAGTTAAAGTGGCCTGCAGTACTGCACTCTTAACTGCTGCGCCACCTCGGTCTTATATGCATATATTCATACCAACCATTCTCTGAATATATCTGAATTACACAGTTTGTACAAACAGCGGCACTAGACCATTTTTCAACTAGATAATTTGGCAGAGCAGCATTTCATCTCAGAGCAAAGCCACTTATCAAAACAAAGGCAATGTGACCCAAGAAACTTCCTTTATGGTCAAGGTGGTCATTATGATATCCTTTTATCTTAACAGACGGTTTCTCCTATCTTCATAATTTTCTTCAGAGTTTTGCACTAAGAGTACTCATTTAATCAAGGAAAAGGCTATTGTGCTCTGCTATTATATAGTACATAATAATTTATGCCAGTGAAGCATGGACACTAACCTCACAATCAATACAAAAGTTACGAGTGGTGCAAAGAACCATGGAAAGATACATGCTTGGCATCACAAGACAAGATGAATTAGAGAGTAAAAGAATTGAAATGGAAATGGGCTGGTCACACAGCAGGAAGAACTGATGGCAGGTGGACCAAGGCAGTCACAGAATGGATCCCTCTTGATAAAAAGTATCCATAGAAGAGACCTAAAACAAGATGGGTTGATGACATCAGCAAGTATTGCAGGCCCAATTGGCAAAAGAAAGCTTAGGACCATATTGGTTGGAAATATGCAGAAGAGGCCTTCATCCTGTAGTGGATAGACAATGGCTAAGATGATGATGATGATGATAAATTTTTAACAGTTCAAGATTTGAGGCTCTGCCTGCTTGAATCCAAAAATGGATTCCATTGCATTTTTCCCCTTGTAACTCCCGATTTGAGATCCCTGGACAGGTATTTATGTAGGGACTCACATGGGAAAATGAACCTCAGATACCTTCTGCTCCCTATTGTGTTGAAAAAAAGCTTCAATCATTTGCTTATTTGGAGAAGCAATAAAATGGCTTCCCCCCAAACCTGGAGACCTTCTGACCAATCCACAGCCAAATAGCTGTAAGACAGGATATGAAGGAAGTTGCAATTCAGGACATCTTGAGACCACCAGATGGGAAAGGGTGCAGTAGAGAACAAAATCAAGTAGATCCAATTGAACAGGGCCAAAATTATAAACTCTGTTCAGACATCCAGAACAAAAGAAAAACAGCATTAAGAACAAAATACACATCAATGTTAACAGTTTAATTTTTTCCATAACAAAATCCCACCTTGTTCTTTGGCAGTTTGAATTTTGAGAATGGTCTAATATTAATTACTGCATCATTTTGCTTTCTACATTTTAATAATTAATTTGTTATTAATGGGCAGCTGATTTTTTTCAAAGCTCCACATTTTCATATCATCTCTTGTTAGCCTATTTTCCCTATATATTATGTCCTTTAAATTATAAACATAATGGTAAGCTGCTCCGGAAGGTTTGTATAAAAGTGCTATACAATTGAAACAAATAGATCTTTGCTATGGAAATATAGTTAAACTAAATAAATTCATAATGCACAACATAACTGGTCAGAAGAAAAGCAATTGTTCCCTCCACCCAGTGGAAATCAGCTCAAGGATATTTACATGGGGATCTTTCATCACGCAACACCCTCTCTCACACACAGTAACAACTCTGTAAGGTATGCTGAGCTGAGGGAGAGCAACTGGCCCAAAATCACTCTGTGAATTTTCAAAGCTGAGGTGGATTGAACTTGGACCTTCCCAATCCTAGGCTACTACTTAACCATTATATCTCTTTGGCTCTTTTAAATCTATAGCCTCATCCAGGTCAGGGACAGTCTTTCCGCCTCTTCCATATAAGGAGTGGGAGGAAATAAAGCTACCCTAAACTTCTCTGCTTTTTCCATTATTGCTGCCTATCAAGCTGTTCTGGTTCCCATGGCACTGCATGGAGTTCTGTTATATCTGTATAGTCCACAGGGCTGGATTTCCTCTTCAGCTGCACTGCCCAATTCATTTTAGAATGGTACAGATTTAATGACAGCCCTTCAAAACTGGCTACATCAGGAAAAATATTCCATTAGTCTGAAAGGAACTATATTTTTGATATAGTAACAGAAAACCTGACTTAAGTTTTTCTCTTCCTTTCTCTTATATACTAATGAATTAGGAAAAAGTCAGGCTGATATTCCTCAAATTTTCTGTTTCCCAGACTTAATTCAAGTTTTTTCCAATTATCACTTCAGTTTAATATCTCCAAAGTCATCTTTGTGAGTCTCCATATCTATGCATTTAAAATTTGTGTGTGTGCATGTGCATGTGTACATACATACATACATACTAGTATGACTGGGGAGGGATGCATTTTTTTCCCATTTGTCCACTTGATTGTAAGATGAATAAAATGCAATTTTATTGGTTTAAGAAAATAATCAATGGTCACTTTTTTAAATTCGCTATGAGACAATAACACTAGCTGTACAATTTCCATATCTGGACTTTTATAGAATCAGCTTAGGAATTTGAACCTGAAATCCTCTGATCATGTGGGCTAGGAATTGCAGACCCCGAGCCAGATTACATGGAGGAATCAACATCCTTGCCAAAAATCTCATTTGCCAAATCTGCTTATCAAGAGATTGGTCTCTTTGGAGATTCTGATCTTCTAGCTAGGAAGTGGAATCTTACCAGAGTTGGAACAAGAATCCAATTATCAGTCAACCTATGTTGGAACAGTTTACAGATTTGCTGGGATCTGTCCACAGTTCTGAAGAATTTCTTGTCTCTGACCACTCTTGCTTACTCACCTGTAACCTTCAATCTGACATGACTACCCCTCAGTTTGCACTCAAGATATCTTAAAACTTTAAAATTGTGAATTTTCTTTTTACAGTCCAATGTCTCACAAACCAAGTCATTTTTAATTGAAAAAAGGGCTACTTACCTAGACAGGAAGAGTTTACCGTGGAGTTTCAGGTCAGCAGCACAATCATCAGACTGACAATTTCTTTCAAAAATAGTCTAAAAGAAGTCAGAAAAAAAATAATAGTAGAGTAGGAAAAAGATTTAGATAAAATCTCTTTTTAAAAGGGCACTCAGCCCTAGAAAAAAATGGTTGACGTCTGTCACAATATCTTCAGGCAGTGCTGGGGAAAAGAAAGAAGAAGAAAAAAACCCCTTTCTCTAACACCAGAAATTGTTGCCCATAACTATGGAAAATACTAAGCCAGATGAGTCAAAGATCTAATTTGATAGAAAACAGTTTTCTCTATAATAAATACTAATTATTTCATATCTCACTGGATATTAAAACTTTATCCAAACTACACAAAAAAGAAAATGTTCTACCTAGGACTAGATAATACTTTTATTGACCCAATTCAAATATAGTCAAACAGTGAGCAAAAGAACATCTCCCTAAGCTGATTACAGCAAAAAACTTAGAAGTAAAAAGTTCCATGCTGAAAGTTATTCTCATAGGCTTAAGACAGAATCTAGATGGAAGTAATTTGAGATGGAAGTACTGTATGAGAGCCAATTTGGCGTAATGGTTAAAGCATCAAGCTAGAAGCCAAAAGCTCTAATCCCATCTTTGGCACAAAGCAACTTGCCTTGTGTAACTTTTGGCCAGTCACTTTCTCTCAGCCCTAAGAAGAAGGCAATGGCTAACCATTTCTGAAAATCTTACTAAGAATATTACAGGAACATGTCCAGGTAGTCTCTGATAATTGGACACAATTCAAAGAAGGGGGAAAATGTGAGATGTAGTTCAACACATGAAAACCTACTGAAAATTGCCAAATTTTGCTGATATCACCATATAAAAATATTAAAATGCAATGTAATTTAACCATAACACATCATCAGACTAGAAGAGGAGATCTTAAAATGTAAAATGTGCAGTTTATAAAGAAGCATTTTTTTAGAATGGATCGATCCTGAGGCTCTGTACATGCCATTCTTTGGCTTTTCTCAAAAAAAGAAGGGTTTTTTTCCCCCTAATGTTCCATTATTGCAATGCAAAAAACCAACTGCCTTTCACTATATGTAAGTCCTGGGCTATTTATGAAATCCTTTAACAAAATCCCATGAATTCCAGTGAAAGAACCTGATGCCATCTCATTGATGATAACTAATTAACATTCCTGAATATTTCCCAGGCTTAAATTATATATACTTGTGTAAAATAACTGGAAGAGTATTTCCACTGAATGTCCTGGCAAATAAAAGCAAATTCCTTAGTAGCTATAAATGTAAAAAAGCATTCTTGCTATTAAAGAAAACAGACGTGTTGGTGTAAGGGGCATGGGGCTTAGAACAGCTGTGAAATTCCTTTGACAGCAGGAAAATATTTAATTCCACATCAATGAGAAACCCATGTTGTGAAACAGTTAGTTCAGGATGCAAGGGCTCCAAATTCAAAGCCCTTTGAACATAAAAGTTGGTGGACAAAAGAAGTTGCAATCTTTGAGCCTAAGCAGGTTGGTATAAAGCCGATTCAATGCCAAATTAAATGGGTTCTACTTTGTGGTATAGAAATAAATCATGAAATATATATAGTATGTACCATAGCATTAAAAATGGCCAGAATACATAAAACAGACCAGATATATTATTCTGAGATTTCAGACTTCATTTTTAGGGAGTCAAGATTTGCCATAGATATTAGCAAACACAATACTCCAAGCAAAAACTAAGTTGCCACAGTTATTATAGTAATGGACAGGAAGGGGGGATTACATTAAAAATTAATTAAATGTAATTAAATTAAGTTATAACACAGGATAAATTCCTCCTTTTGGGAAAGTTATTTCTGTTTCTCTTATAGCTGTACCAAAATATATAGGCAAAGTATAATAATTGTGGATCTAATCCATTAAATTAAAGTACCTTACACATCTAGACCAATATTACATTATTTACAGAAGTTTGATGGTATGCTGGAGTGATCGTGTTTGAGCAATCTGTACTGAATGTTCTGTAATGCAATGCAAAACTACAATTTACAGATATTCCTTGTTTAGCAACTGTTCAGTTAGAACAATGATTAAAAAAATAACTTTATCCTTGCATTCACAATTCTCACAGCAAAGCAAATAAGGTCATAAGCAAAATCATGGATTCACTTAGCAACTGTTTTGCTTAACAACTGAATTGCCAGTCCCAATTCTGGTCCCTGAATGAGAACTTTCCTGCTATCTCTCTATGCTTATAAATTCCCTTCATGTTTTCTGGTTTGGCAAGGAGGCAACTGGAAACACTCATTTCTACTTCAGACTAATCAATTTCCTATGGTATCGAAGATCAGAGAAGGCCCTGTTAATATGACTATATAATCAAGCCTAGATAAAACTATGATATATAATTATATCTTCTTTGTTAACCATAGTTTAAACTAACCAAGCAAGGATGTAACAAGAAATTACCATTCATTTAAAAGTGAAATCTAATGGCTCTGATCTTTGCTGACAGTATATGCATGTATTCAATATATTATAACCAATGATGAATTTGGAGTATTTTCTTGCCTGGAGATCTGAGACAATGATTGGTGAATAGCTTTAGTCTATAAAAAGAATAGTAATAGTCAGGGATGAAATTTTTTTATTGTTACTATTTGTTTAAGGTAGCATGCTACTAATTTAAGAGCTACATTAACCTTAGTGAATCAAATGTGATTTTTTTTAACAATAACAACAACAAAAGACTGAAAAGAGTCACACTGTTTTAACAAACAGCAGAGTGCTGCTAACATAAGATCTTAAAAATGCCTATCAAATTTAATGGATTCATTTAATGAGAATTGTTCATCTATTTTAGAACAATAACAGTGCTAATGTCCTCCAAACTTCCATAACTAGCAGCAATGTCAGTGTTAAAAAGCATAGTGGAGTGAGATGCAATATTGAAAAAACATTCAAGACAAAAGACAATTTCTACAGGAAAGAAAGAATAGTAGTCTCTTCTCATCAACTTTTTGAGAGAGCTTTCTATTTCCCCAAAAGCTTGGGCCATGATTGATTGTAAGATTTCAGACCATTGTTTCTCAGACTTGGCAACCTTAAGTGGATGGACTCCCACAATTTCCTAGCCAGAATGAATGTCTTAAAGTAGCCAAGCTTGAACAACATTGCTTTAGACTTAAGCTGCACAGCCTGAGATTATTGGGGCCAATGCATCTTCCACATGCTTTGAGGCTTCAAAGGAGGCAAAAAAGTAAATATTCATATATTTTAAGTTCAGTTTTAATTAACTATATATGTTAGTGAAAATAAGTTATTTTTTCCCCCTAGCTCTCCTGACTATTTTGAGGAACAGGTATCTTTCATTTTACATCCAAGTGTAGCTCTTGAAACAGAAAGGATATTCTCTTCCATATAATATGGCAATGGTCTTTGGGGGTATAGCTTTAGGGCGGTTTTCCTCCCTGAGCTGTACAGATTTCCAGGAGCAAACTCCTGTTTGCAAATTAGGGAACTGCAGCCAATCCACTTGGAAGCAAAAGATCACTGCTTTCCAGCAGTTTAAAGGAACAAACTGCAAACATTTGAAATCTTTTCCTGCTATCAACATAAAAATAACAGCAGCATAATTACAACCATTTAGTTAAGTAAAATAATTGCAGATCTTTCAACTATATGTAGAGATAAAGCTATTAAAAATTAAGCTCTAAACTAATTCCAACCAACTCAGTAATTTTTTTCTCTCCCACATACTGGCCTGGTAAGAACAGCCAGTCCCAAAAGCTAAGATCAATCATATTGTATCATAATACTGGGTGGAATCATTTTTAGTTTTCCTGGTATGGAAAACATCCATTCTGTGCCAATTTGGGGTTCACCCCGGCCACTGAATTCCAACACATTAAACCTGGCACATATATGTGGATGAGACTGAATGCATCAGAGATTCCACCCAACCAAAGGGGGGGGAGGAATATTTCTAATTAGACAAAAGAGGGTGGGTCAGGAGAAAGCCATTTCCCGTAATAAAGGAAAGATTCATATTTGGGACATATTGGGAACAGCAAAGATTCTCTTTGAATGAGCAAATCATGTGCTCAGCACAAAATTTAGTCATATGATTCTCACTTGCCACAGATGATCTAAAACAGGGGTTATTCAACTACATTCACTATCACTCCCTAGCACTGCTGGAAAGGGCAGAGAGGGTCTGTAATTTAACAACTTCTGAAAACTGTATGCTGTTCATCTGTTATCTAAAAGGTAATGATCTAACACTGTATCTGTCAAACTGATTACTATCTTCCCTAGTTCAACCTGCATTACTACTTTGAATTAAAACCGGACTGGTCTATACCTTAGCCTATTTGCTCTCTGGCCATTTCTTCAGTTATTCTCCCCATCCTAATAAACCCTATTTCCCTAGGACTTCTGTCTAATGTATGGTAAATTTCATTGCCATAATACCAAAGGAGGCATTGGCTGGGAAATTCTCTATATTATAATTCATGCTGCAATTAATTGCTTTTTAAAATAGAAAAATTTGTCATGAAATATTATATGAGGAAGGACAAGCTGAAAGCATTGAGGAGGCCAGACTGCGGAGATATATATATAATGAAGTGCAGGTATATTTCTTCATTAATTTATTAGGGCAAATATCCTATAATAAATAATGAAGGGACAATATTATATATGAGCAAGTCCCACTGGAGTTAATGTGGCTTAGTTTTTTAGGAGGCTTGGAATACTTGCTAATCCAACAGAATTTTCTCTCCCTCCGCTCCTATTCCCACTTACTCCATATGTGCTCCAAAACTGCTCCAGAGTCCCAAAATATTTCCGAAGAGATCCAATACAGGGTGAAAAAAAAGAGTCTATTCTACTAGTGATAGCTCTTTTCTTAACAGAATGATATCACTGTTCAGCCTATGTCTTCAATTCTGATCTAGTAGTAGTGTAAACAGCAGTTCTGTAACTATGTCACCTAAGGTGAAAGCTCTGTGGAAAAAAAATACCTGGAGAAACTGTATGAAAGCACTGCTTCTGTTCATTCCTTATTAAATGCAAGGGAGTGAGAGCCAGTTTAGTGTAGTAATGAAGCTGCTGGCCTAGAAACCGGGAGGCTTTGAGTTCTAGTTCCACCATAGGCACAAAAGTCAACTGGATGATCTTTGGCCACTCATATTCTCTCAGCCCAGCCCATCTCACAAAGTTATCGTTACAGGGAAAATAGGAAAGAGTATTGTGTATATTTGCTGCCTTGAGTTATAAAAATAATAAAGGTGGGATAAAAAAAAATCTATTAAATAAATAAATAATTCTAATTACTGATTTTTACAGCATGGCCAACCTGACTGATCATTCAGAAAAGAGAATCTCATCTTTTTTCCATTTGGGAAAAAGATAATATTGTTTATTTCCAATATTGATGTTTTTTTTTAAATAGAGGATTATCCAAATTCTAACCTGGTTTCTCTGTGACATCTTCTGGCCTTTTTTCCATCGGAGTACCGGCTTGAGAGCAGGTAATTCTTTTTCTTCTTTTTCCACAATATGTTTCCCAAGGCTGTATGTAGCTTCAAAGACTATTGGCGATATCACATCTTTGACTCTTCTCTATAAAAAGATTAAATGATAAAAAAGAAGAGTTTAATTCAGAGCAGAGAAGGGGTTTTAAAGGCACAAGCTAAGGCATTTTCTTCTACATCATTTTCTCTTTCTCATCTGTCATTTTTTTTCATTAATTATTCATTTTTTTACATTTGATTCTAAAAGTATGCTTTCCAATTTCAGATTAGAAATGGACATTTTCCATCAGTACCTCCAAATAGCTCTCAACAGCTTTTCAAGTTCATCTCCCTTGATAACTAAACTTATTATTTGCATTTTAGTGGGGTTTGTTATTTTCCTAAAAGATTTATTTTCCTAAACAGAATTTTATGAGGAAGAGGGCCAATATACTAAAAAACATATACTAAAACTATAAGGTGAACCAATGTATGTTAGTCAATTTATAGATTCAGAAGATACAAAGCTATTTTCCTTGTCACAGCAATTCTGTGCCAAAGTTATGATTTTAAGGACCTTTACATAACACGTATAAGAACCAAGCCAACTATCCATCAAATCCACTTCAGCTGTTTACTGAAATCCCACTAATAACTATAACCACTTATTATACCATAAGCTAGAAACATCTGAAATTAAAGGTGTGGAGTTCAGGATATCTTCTAAGACAGGGCTTTTCAACCTTTTCACCCATTGTATCACTTTTAGGATATGGCAATATCTGAGTACCACCAGTCGCCTAGCAAGATATCAAAAACCTGATGACCCCCCCCAAAAAAGGAAAAATTGATAAAGTACAGGTAGTCCTCGACTTACAACAGTTCGCTTAGTGACTGTTCAAAGTTATAATGGCACTGAAAAAAGTGCCCCCCAAGGCACAGCAGAGGAAGACACCTGCCTGCCCACCCGGCGGTGCTCTTCCTCCTGTCCGAGGTTTTCATTGTTGTGAGCATTTCTGTTGAGGATTGGCAGAGGGGGTAGGGTGGGGGAGTGTTTGGTTTTTATTCCCCCTGTCTGCTGGGTGGTTGCAGCAGGTTTTGGCCACTTCACATGACCCTGGGATACTGTCACCATCATAAATATGAATCAGTTGCCAAGCACCTGAACGTAAATCACAAGACCTTGGAGATGCTGCAACATTCCAGCTGATTGGCACTTCTTCTGGGCTCAGCAGAAGCACCAGGATCAGCGCCGAGCTCCAGCCTGAGCCTGGTGCTGATCCTGGTACTTCCACTGAGCCCTGACAGTCCCGAAGAAGCACTGATCCTGGTGCTTCCGCCGAGCCCTGACCACCCTGCAGCTCCAGCCATCTCTCACTCAGGCTTGTGCGGTGCTGCCACCGGTTCAGCTCATTCCCCTCCCCCACTACCACTTTTCTAGGATGGTCGCGTACACATTCCAGGTGCCAATGTGCCACAGGTGGTACCCGTACCATTGGTTGAAAAGCCCTCTTCTAAAATACTCCATCCAGTCTCTTTCATTTTCCCCATGATTCTCCATTTCCATACCCAAATCCTGTACAAAAAGGGAAACGTATCCCAAGCATGTTAAATTAAATATGGCATTTGGAGAATAGCTGACAAAAGCTAGACACTCTGTTCAGCTCACTGTTGCAATTGTTGCTTGACAGTAAGACAGCTAGAGATATAAACTGTTACGGCATGATTGAGCTTGTCGTCTGAAATATCCAGCTCCTGTGTCTCCATTTATAGCTACAGTTTGTAAAAAAAAAAAAAAAACAGAGGAAAGAAAAAAAGAGGCAAATAGAGGCAAACTTAAATCCTACACTACCCAGAAGGAATTTGCTGAACTTTGAGAAGGTAATAAATTTGCTTACACTATGAGGGAAAAAAACAAGAAGCTCTTGGCTTAAAATTTAAAATACATGCATTTTGCTTCCCTAATAAGGGAAAGGGGCCAGCACAAAAGATAAGAAGACCATATTCCAGTGATGGCAAACCTTTTAGAGACTGAGTGTCCAAAAACCGCCCCACCCGCTGCCCGCCACCGCTCTGCCTCCTGTTCCACCCTTGCCCTGCCTGCCCACAAGGCCACCCACCGCCTCCATGGCCCATCACAACATATTGCCCAGGCAGCCCTGTAGCAACATGGCGGTCATGGTCTCTGCCTGCACCTCACAGCATCATCTCCGCATGACGGGGTGTGAGGGCGGAGTCTTGTCCTTGCTGCCTCTGGGGGGGGCTGCTGGTGAGTAGGGGGCTGAGGGGAGAGGCGGGTCTTGGGCAACAGTGTGCATGCCCACAGAAAGGACTGAGTGCTGCATGCGTGCCATAGATTCGCCACCACTGCCATATTCCATTTTCTCTCTCACTGTAAGTTGGAGCATTGAATAACTGATTATTATATAATATATATTTAAATTACTTTATTAACTAACATGAATGAATGCCACAGAATTGGAGCCAATATGTTTGGGAAGTGCTTTAGGAAAATGTTTAGTCTTGAAAAGCTTAGTCTTAAATATTTTGAAAAGGGCTACTAACAATCCAGAAGGAGTTATTAGTGTGCTCTGGACTACCCTACCAAACAAATATCTAAGGTGTACTAAACTCAAATAGATTTAGTAAGCACAAAATACTGAATTTCCATTGGAAAAGGAAATTTTAAAAAATTGAAAGGAAGAAGAATATAAGCTGGCTTCAGCCAATTATAATCGATAACATCCTGAAAGATAAAAAGGGTTTGCTAGCATTTTGAGTAGAAACAATCCTGTGTTAAGATTATGGATGTGCCACAATATTTCATTAAAGTTTCCCCCCTACTTGGGAAATATTATATTAATAAAAAAGGGCACCTGGCCAATCTTACCTGACCTCTTTAATGCTAATCAGTTTGGATTTAATTATCACTTTGATAAAAGACCATCAGGAAGTTGTCATGGGCAGCAGAATAGATTAAGACTTTACCCCCCCCCCAAAAAAGTCAAACCATTGCTATATTAAAGTAAATTATACGGATATGTGCAGATACTCATCAGATGTCGGTTTCAACTTAAGTTTTTTTTTTTAAATAATCAACTGCAAGTCCAAAGGACTCAGAAGAAGGATAATAATGTTATATGGCTCATTGACAGCAAGTAAGTCAGAGATAATCATTATTGAAGGATAGATAGTTGTGTCAAAACTTGGCAGAAGTTTGATAGCTTGACCTGTCCTTCCGAATGAATGATCAGAATGAGGCAAGAGCAAACTAACCATTCATTATGTACAGAGCAAAATCATTCAATCCTAAGGAGAGTAGCTACTGTAGCTTGTTTTTTTCTAATCAGAAAGACAAAGAAAATATTTTATATTAGTTGAGGAGATGTGTAAGTTTTACACATTTTGCACAGAACAGTATGTTGGTCAAGCTAGTCTTTAAAACTTTTATTCAAATATTCAAATTTGTAAAGGCATCTCTAATTAAAGTGAATGGAGTGTGAATTTTAAAAACTTAGCTACTACTGTTGCTTACAAGGGAAATAAAAATTAGATGGCATCAAATGTATTCAGTTGAAGAAAAATTGTTTTATATTTCTCCAAAGTTTCTTAATGATTAACTGATTGTGACTGAATAAACCATTAGAATCTTTGTTTAGACCACATGATTCTAAATTAGTGTGAAAATCTCCATTATAAATACCAGCCATTTGAAAAGTGTACTGATTCACTTCTTTGATGAAAACTATGACAAGCAGAAAGCAGAGAAATCACATTTTGGATATTCCTTCCAGAGCCCTAGAGAAATATTTTTTCTTCAAGTCTCTTGTCATTAAATAAGCCTTTTCCCAGCCAATTTTATTACATCACATATTTTGCTCCTTTAACTGATCTCTTTATAACTACAAAGACAAGCAACTTTCTAGAGAACATATGGACTTAGTCATGCAATATGCAAGTAGTTCTCCTATCTCCCCAAACAATAAAAACTATATAGCTTATTTATCAGGCAAGATCACTGTTTTCAGGACCAATCTTTTTGTACTGATTTATGTGGTGGAAGTTCAGAGGAACTTCCAATTTCCCAATTCTTTGTTCAAATGTCAAGAACATATCGTAAACTATTATCAAAGCCCACAAACTTCAGCATATTATATTTTAATTTCCCTGAGTTAAATGTTCTATTCACAACTCAAACTTAAGAAAGTAAACAGAGTCTATTATTCTTTCATCAGACTTCTGCCACATATTCCTTGTTCCTTTCATACTACTAGATTGGAACTGTCCATCAAGTTAGGAGCAGAACAACATAAAATGATATTTTTGAGTTCCAATCTTTGCAGGTAGACCAGGTAGAGATGAAAGAGAAGTACGGTCCACACTTTACAGCCTGACATTAGTTATCTACCAGAATACTGTTTCCATTCTAGGGCCAGATCTGAACTCTGTTAACAAGCGTTCCAGACAATGATCCAAGATAATTTTAGAAGCTGTATACATAAACAGACTTCACTCTATTCCCACAAATAAGTAAACAGTGGATTAATTAAAATAGATTGATTAAAGCTACCAAACCAAAAAAAGCATAGTCTATCATGGCTTTATGTTGTTATGGTTCAAACTGTCCCCCAAACAATTTTAAAGCAATGTCCAACACTTTGAAGATCTACCTCTGAACTACCCTACAGCTTGATCATTTGCTTGCTACTGTTGGTGACTATAATCATGTGTGCTCAGTCTGTGAAGTCTGTTACTAATCTAAATGAAAACTAGAACAGATATGCATTTCTCATTCCCTTTGTATGTATCCAGTGGCTCCCATATGTCATCCTATGCCAGATTTTTGTGTGTATGATAAATGAACTTTACACAGCAGAGGTTCCTTGAATAGTTTCGCTAACTGAATGCACAAGCACATCATCAGTGTGACTGTTTGAGTTAACAGTACAAAATGTGTTATCTTTTAGATTCATACAGTCATAATTTACTAAGTGGATTCTTATCTCAGAGTAGGAAGAGCTTGAATTTGTCAACTGTACTGTCTCCCCAACTTAACTTTTCTTTTTGACCTGCAATTAAAGGGGGAAAGAGAGGCACCAAATTCTAAAT